GTTAAACAGAGGAGAGTCTGGATATCATAGAAGGAAAAAAGAAGAATGAACCTGAGAATGGCAAAATAGGAATGGAATACCATGTTAAATAGAAAATTGCACAGCTGATGGCCAATAACAGAGTTTTCTGCTCCAGGGTAGGAGCTTCTTAGCTGAAAATTTTTGAGAAGACCCTGAGTGTACCTGTTAATTATAGATAACTAGGAACCACCCTTAAGAAGATGCTTTTCTGAAGATGCTATATGTAATCTTAGAACATATCAGACAAGACTAGAGCTAAGGAATAGTTAATATTTCAAGATGTGGCACTGGTGAGATTACATCTGGAATATTTAGCATTTTTAGCCATGTGAATTGATGAAATATGGATCCAGATAGAAAGCACTGTAGCCAAGGGCTCCAAGGATGTGCTGCAGAATCAAGAGCGCCTAGTTTTCAAGAGATTATTAAGCATGATTAGCTTGTTTACTTAGTAAAACAGGTTGAAAAACTGCGTTCCTCTTCATTTATGATCAAGGTTGAGTCCTAAGTATCAGACTGAGAGGAAGAGCTTTTAAAGCTAAAGCACCCTGTCAGTTCAAAACCAGAATATAATTTGATCATGACTGGAAATTAAAAGAATGCATCAGAAGACCAATCTTTTGCAGTAGCCTTAGAAGTGGATGGAGTGGCAGGGAATACAATTCTTACTGTTCTCAAGGCAGGGCTTGACTTTTTCACAAAAGGTGCTTTTGAGTTTGCAGACTGGATTTGTGACCTGGATTCCTCCTGCGTTCTTATTTTATGATTTTACTAATACTTGCAGTTTAATTGCCCTGACATATAGCTTTGGAGTGACTACCATTTTCTTGATGATGATGTCTCTTGTTCTAGGAAGCTAAAGGGAACTCTCTGGTTGAGAGTCGGAGAAGCCATGAGCAGTGCAAGGTCTCACCGATAACAGTATTGAAGGCAAAATTTAATTAAGATTACCCAAAGGTCAGTGTTATTAAGTAGGCTGTAATTGTTCATAGCAAATAAAAGAATGGTGACAGTGGTGGCAGGGAAGGGTGCACGAACTACAAGGAATGGCACATTTTGGGGTAACATCCAGGCGGACAGTAGTCAGTTCACACGCTTTAAGAATGACTTCTCTTTTAACTACAATCACTCTCAGGAATCAGGCATAATGCACAGCAAGGGTGCAATCAAATAAAATACTTCTCAGGAAATCAGTTCCTTGAACTAGAGCTGTAAGTAGGTGAAGGGGCTGCTCCAAAGTACACATAGCCCCAATATACTTTCACATTCGGTTTGCATGTGCTGTTAATAGCACTGAACTATAAATCTGAACAGTATTCTAAGCACGAGTGTTTCTTGAATGCCTAGTTTGTTCAATATACACAAGGCATTATATTTTCTCTTCCTGCAAGTCCTTGGCACTCTCTAGCAGGTCTTAGCTGAATGGACTTTAGCCATAGACTATGAAAATAAAACTTCGTACCAAAATACGTTTTAGCTATCCGTAACCAGGAACACTTCTAAAGTTGAGACACCCCATTTTTAAATGCCAGGAGGGTATGAACTATTATAATCTTGACAAGCTCAGGAAAAAAGATGTTCCACAAGAGTGTACAAAAGGAATACACATGCACATTTTCTACCTCATTAATTTTTGACCACTATGGATAAACATGTATTTTGGGACCTTTAACAGAGGGCAGAACTGGGAGGAGACAAGATTAAAACTGCCTAAACCATAGTTTGTGTTACAAGTTAATGATTCTTCTACCAAGTACCAGCACAGCGTTGCTTAAGGAGAGAATACTCTGACTTTTGAGCATTTGTGTGGTAGTATAACTGCTGTTGTTGTGGATACAGAACCTAGGTAGGAACCTCTTTAATATTCTTTTTGTTTGTCTTACCCTTAAAATGTTGCCATTTAGTGTTTGCAGCTAATGATTACCGGTGTAGTACTAGTTCCTGTGATCAATAACACCAGTAACATTCCTGTTGTAAATGTCAGTGCTTTAATGATGGCATCATACATTTGTATATGTGTCTCTGAATAGTAAGCATCATATGTCTTGAAGAATACAAGCAGCACTGAGGCCTGCGCAGCGTCGAGGCCTGCGCAGCATTGTGATATTCATTTTTCATACTAGGTTAACTTAAAAGGTCTTATTATGATTCCTTAATGTATTAAAAATCAATAAGACAACTGGATTGGACTGCAGTTAGTGTAAATCAATACAGTTCCATAAACTACTGGTTGAAATGTGGCTCTTGATTTGTGATTTTTTAGTCTACTGGATGGTGGTATAGCCCCTGAAAGTGCAACTGCGGTGAGAAACAGCTCAAGGACTTACAGTGTCTTTGCTGGATTCTGAAAATTCCTCAAACATCCTTGTATTTTTCTTTCACAAGAATCTACAAAACCTGTAGCAACCTACTGTCTTGACCTTTGTAAATTAATCACCTGTTATTCATGCTAAGGTGTTTAAATTGGTGCTCTTATTCATTATAATTTGCATATAATTAGGGGATAGAAAAACAAGCTTGATTTTTTTTAATGTTCACTAAGCAATAGATCTACCTAACAGGCACAGGGTTAGGCCATGGCCCCTATAAGGTCATATACCCTGAAGCACTGAAGAAGTCTGTGGCTGCCCTTTGCAAGGCTGGCTGCTGTACTCTGGAACGATCTCGCAAGGTGCCGCATGTTTCCCGTGACGCTGTGAAAGCTCTCAGCTCCCACCCAACACAAATCATCCACACTGATTATTAGTTAAGACCCTTGATCTTCCCCCACCCACAATGTTTTTCAAAAAAGACTGTAGTGAGCACAAGACCAAATGAGTTTGTCAAATGTTCCCTGGAAGTGAACTGGAAGAGTGTTAACTTTCATTCTCATAGTATGGTTTGAGGGGTCTTTTTGTTTTTTTTTTTTAGCTTATGCTTGCTTTTGGGGCGAGGACTGTTTTCTTCCCTCGGGAAGGAAGTCAGGGTGATTTCTGTTTAGGCTGATTGACTACCTAAACAACGCCAATATGTTATTTGACTGATCTCGTCTTCCTGCAAATGCAACTACCTCAGGTAATTACTACAGCAGAAATGCTTGTGCAGGCAAAGCATAATAGTTTTAGAGAAATCTTATTCGCGAAAGGACACATTTGGTGCAGAAAGCTTCATACTTTTCCTTTGCTTGTAACCAGATCCTTGGTTTATTAAACATGGAAACAAACACCGGTGAAATAAATCTAAAATAGCAACTTAATACTTGAAATTGTTAAGCTCAACAGCTAATATATGTTGACATTAATTGTGAATCGACCTTTTATCTTTTTTTCTAATCTTCTTGTGGCATGGCATTTCCCCAGCCTTGATCTGCTCTACCTCCAGCAGATTTCCATGTAGGACAGGGTCAACTGAGGATGGGAGGAGATGCTGCCAGCAGCTCCAACACTTGATCCTTGCACATAGCTAGCTCTAACATTTCTCCAGCACAGCTGCATCATCTTTTTGCTTCCTTCCCCAAGTCCTAGCCTTCCCCAGCAAAAGTAGCACTATCTCCAGTAGCATCTTTGCAAAGCAATGATAAGACATGTGTCATTCACCATTGACAGGAGCTGGTCACCGCTGTTCTTGCCTGGATCGCTGGAAGAGCTAAGCACTGACAGTGCTGAGCCAACTAACTTCCACCTTCTAGATGGCTTCACACTGTTCTGTGTGCATCAAGCACCTTTTGCCCTACAAAAATGTATTTTACTTTTTTTTCTTCTCTTTTTTTATCTTTTATCTTGCCTGGTACCCTAACCTCCACCTCTGGATGCCTTTTTCACCATTTGCCTGTAACTGCTTATCCTGCTCTTTGATATTTACTGCTCGCACTTTCAATCTTACTGTCTTTCCTTCTTGTGCCTTCACAGTCTTTCTCTGAAACATTTACTGGGATAGCCTGCTAACACCTAAACTTCTTCAGTTATCTGTATGGATACCTGACTATCTTTCTCTTCTGTCTACTTTGCCTCTTATTTCTATCTTCATGTTTCTCTGCTTTCACTCCTTCTCTCCTTATATTGAGATTTTAAGTCATGTTGTACCTTCAAACTCTCAAAAAAGCCACTTCTTTAGTCCTGTGACCTGCAATGACATACTACCCCAGCATCTTATTGTAGTCCTTAATGTATCATGATAACAGGGAGAAGCTAGTATCTTCAGATTACACAGGGACAAATAAATTTCAGAGGACCAGATGCTTAAAAGTATTTGTGTGCTAACTTTTCTTGAGCACTAAGAATCTCATTTCACCGGCATTTCTGTTGGTAGTTGTGCAGACTTGAGGAAATCCTTTCCTCTATTTTTTGTTCCTATCTGTCTGAGGACCCAAGTGGAAGGAAAAGCTATTTTTTTGTCCAGATATGTGTTCTAATCAGACTTACAGCACAGCCACAGAAGCAGTGATACTCACACGAGTCAAGAATTTGGGAAGCAGGTATGAGCAGTTGGAAAGGAAAGGAGGTGTTCATGCCAGCATTAGTACCTAAGGACATGCTCATGAACTTAATCCCAAGAATCTCCTAAATTGTTTAAATCTCTGTTTGTGTATTTTTCTTAAACATCCTTAGGTATTAACCCTCTTCCACCTGGGTGAAGAAAAATGTTCTTCACCATTGTGCATTAGAGCAATGCCTACCCTTTAAATGCTCTGAAAAGTGTTACTCTGCCATATGGCCTGTAGCAGAGTAATTTGCGACTGCAGATGGGCTGTTTCCGGCATTGGAAAAGTTCATCCAACTTTTTTCAGCTCCATTCAAGCATGGAAAACATCTCTTTGTGTGATTCCCCCCTCCTCCCCCCCCCTCCCCACACACACCCTTGTCTTCTTCACCTTTTTCTCAAATGAGGAGACTACTGTGAAAGGTGAAATAAATCAGTTCCTCTGAGCTATGATTTCTGAGTTCTGACTTGGGGTCATTAGTTTCAATACTCCTGTCTCCCCTGTGTGTCAAGACCTGCAGATCCAAAGCAGGTTTGTTTCAAGTGACCCATTTTTTCCGAGGGGCTCTGCAGTGGCGTCTGGATCTTCCTTCAGAAATCTGTTCTGTTTACAGTTGGAATTGCACAAACAGGCAAGTGTTTTCATTCTTTAAATAAACTTTGCAAATAGGTACATAGAATTCCCTTACAGCTTTTCACTGAAGTGTTCTTTTTTATTGTTTACCCATCTCTCAAATACAGAGTTTTAAAAAACTGAGAAAAGAAAAAGGTGAAATATTGTACTATTCATTGCAATAAAACCAAATTCAACTTAATCATATAACAGGGCTTTCAACAATAATAAAAAAAAAATATATCAAAGGAGGGGAAAGATTTGTCATCTGTGGCTACAGGGTGTGCTCTTCCCAGGGGAACTGGAGCAGTTCTGCTGAAC